TATAGGAAAAGATGCAGAATTTCAAGCTCTACAACCCTATGATCTCGAAAATGAAATCCAGGGGGGTGGCAGATTTGCTATCTTATCCCGCGGTGTCCTTTATGAGACAGAGTAGGACTACCTTGTCATGTGATTTTTTCTTAATGCATATAACCTGAATATGTCATATATCATCAAAAACAAGTCACGCATTGATGTTACATGTCACGAAAAAAAATATTTTACATAAAATGTCACTGATTCATGTTATTTGAATAAGAAAAGTCAAGAATGTAGATGAATAATCTAGTTAATTCTAGATAAGTATATTCATTTTTAATGGGAAAAAATTGCATTTATATATCAGTCATTGATGAATCACAGCATTTATCCGTTATAGAACAAAAGAATAAGATGAATCATTTCGCATAGTAACTAAGATCTATAAAAATAAGCCTAATCGTCACTAGTACTACACACTAAACTATCTGAATAGAATCATCAACGTGATGTATATTTTTATGCCTACAATTATTTGGCTTGGTACTGATTCGAACAATCCAAGTAATAGTTTTTTGATTAAATTAAATGATTATCAAGATGTACAAACATTCACTAATATTGATCAATGTATCTCTTACATAAAATCTCATCCTGAACAGATTATATTTTTAATTGTTCCTGGTACTTTTAGTTCACAAATTGTACCAGAAATCTATGAATTATCAAGTATTTCTATGATATTTGTTTTTTGTTCAAATATGAAAGCACATATAGACTGGGCGATAGGTTTTAGTGATAAATTAAGTATGTTTGATCATGAAGATGATTTATTACAAAACTTATGGTCCGAAATTGAGAATTATTCACGAGAACAATCAAAACAATATATAAAATTTGCAGATGAATGTAAAGAACGTTCAAAACAACTACAACAATCATGTGGATAAATTATCATTATTAATCTCAATCATTTAAATACTCATCGTACTTGTTAAATGGGTCACATTTTTTTGCTCTATTCTATAGGAATATAAATCAAAGAATAGAATGATGATGTGATTCATGAACACAATATCGAATTTTTATTTACAGGGTGACATCTATATTTTTTATGTTAAATTAATTTTTATTCTAAACGTTTTTTTAATAATTAATTTTTTTCAATTGTTTTAAATAATCTATAATAATATAAATGATGATAATAAAAAAAGGAGGTTTTATTAGAGGTCTATAATTGGTTGAGTAAGGACAAAATCCAAAATATGTGTTCCATAAGTAGCTTTGCATTTATTTGTTGATAAATTTCTCCATTCATTCTTCTCAATATAATCTTCGTGTGACCAGTGGTCGATTTCTCCCTCGAATCGTTCTTCATTTAATCTATTGATGGATTCAGATAATGATTCAGGCAATTCAAATGATGGTCCAATCCATCGTCGACGTACTCAAGGTACTCGTCCGCCACCACCAACGTCTCATCATCAAAATTCGATGAATCGAATATCATCGGGTAGTAATGTTGATCGTGGATATCATCCAACAAAAGAAGATGCACCTTACTCAGATGATGATGAAGTTGATGAAGAAGAAGAAGATGATGATGATGATGATCATCGTCGTCATCATCAACAATCAACATATCGTGGACGTGGTCGACCATCTCAACAACAACATTTAATGGATAATTTATATGATGATGGTAATGAACATCAAGATTTACCAAGATATACAGGTCCATTACGTGAACAAGATAGATTTTTACCAATAGCAAATGTTGCTAAAATTATGAAAAAAGGTGTTCCAGAAAAAGGAAAAATTGCTAAAGATGCTAAAGAAACAATTCAAGAGTATGTTGGAAAAAAAATTATTTATTTTTTTTTTTAATTTTAATTAATATAGATGTGTTTCGGAATTTATATCATTTATAACAAGTGAAGCATCCGATCGATGTCTTCAAGAAAAACGTAAAACAATTAATGGTGAAGATATACTTTCAGCAATGTTAACACTTGGTTTTGATTCCTATGTTGAACCATTAAAAATATTTTTAACAAAAGTTCGTGATGCATCAAAATATGATCGAACAATAACAATGGGAGGAGAATTAACTGATGATATACGTTTACAAGTTGCACAAGCACAAACAAATCAAACAGTTGGACCTATTGTACAAGCACAAGTTGCTACAACTGTACAAGTACAACCACAAACAACAACAACTGGTCAAACATTACCAACAAAACCAAATACAACAGTTGCAAATCCAAATGGACTTGAACCTTATGGACATTCAGTAAAAGATTTTTATTTTTAATTAAAAAACAATTAATTTAATTTGATTTTTTTTCTTTAGGTTCGTGTTGTAACATGTATTCGAAATGATCAACCAGGTGAAAATCCAAATTATGTTTATACAATTCAACCATATCAATAAAATTATACAAAAAAAAACCAAGCTGAAATAATTCATAAATAACAACCGATTTGTACATTATTGTTTTGTTTTCTCTCTATCTCTCTCTCTGATTGTTTCTTTACTCTTGTACATTTTCTTTGTCTTTTTTCACATATGTCTTTACGTATTTGTTCGTTTAGTCTTTATCTTGATTATCAGTGTAATTCTCTATTTTGTTATTCCATAGAACAAAAAGAAAACTAAGAACATCTTTACAAACATCACTTTATTTCTTATGATAAATATTTGGGATTTTTCTTCTTACAGATATATATATATATTTATTCTATGGACGAATTATCTTTAATAATTGAGTCATTAATGAATAGTGAAATCGATGATATGATACTTGATTTAGCTTATGAGATTCATTCATCAATTAAAGGAATACCTCAAGAACAAATTCAAATAAATAATTTTGAAAATAAAAAAACGTCAATTGAAAAACAAACTTGTATTTGTCCAAATTGTGGTCAAACAAATTTAATAGCCATTAGATTTGCTTATCATTTAGCGAAATGTCTTGGTGAGAGAAAACACAAATATATATATTTATGAATAAAGTTTTGTTTTTCAAAAAGGTGCTGGAAGACAATCATCTCGCCAAGCTCAACGTCGAATTATTGATCAAATTATGATAATAACAGATTCAGATGAAAATCGATCCAATGGAAATCATTTTTATAAAGATATGGAAACAAATTCTATATCAGAAGATGGAAGTTCATGTACAGGTAAGAAAATCATATTAGTTATTCTATTTTATGCGTAATAATTTATTATTTTAGATTCCACATCAAGTACAATAACATTAACTAGTTCACATAAAACTCATCTTCGTATATCAAATGAAGATAAAGATTATATTGATGATTTTGATAATGAAGAAGAAGAAGAATGGAAACCAAAGAAGAAAAAACAACGTGTAACGAATAATAAAAATAAAAATAAGAAAAAAAAAGATGTACTTCTTGTTGTATCTCCAGCAACTACGAAACTTGATTTTCCCAATTGTATTATTCCATTTAATAAACTTTGGTAAAAAATATTTTAAATAAAAAAAAATTCTTTCTATTCATTTTTACTTTTATTTTTAGTCCGGTGGCAACACGTACTGTGATACCTTTAGTTCCACTTCCAATCAGTTCAATGACATCAAATAGTGATAAAATATTCTTTAAAAGTCAACAAGTATCATCACTTCCATCTGAATCTTCACATTATTTTGTTCAATCCCCATTAAATCTAGTCGACGATGATCAATCATCAATTATTATCTTTAAAGAAGATATTAATAATTGATTTAATTTATTTTGAATTTTTTTCTAATGTGTGGATTAGTCTTCAGTCAATTTATTCTTCTCATGTCTTGTTTTTCTTTTCTGATGAAATATTTGTAAAGTCAACAAAACACAAAAATAAGAAAGAGAATTTTTTTTTGGATAAAAAAAGATAACGAATATTTTCTATTTTTATATTTCATTTTTGTGTTTGACGATATTATTCAAATCATGAAACAATATTAAAATTGTTATCTTAATTAAGATAAAATTTAATAAAATCAACATTTTCATTTTGTTCAATATTCCATTTACATATAAATTATTCGATAGAATAACTTTCAAAGGGAACAAGATGAAGATGTATCGAAAGATTTCTAACTGTATTTTAATGACTAAAATATCGTATATGCAGTAATCAGAAATAAAATCTCTTTGTCTGTCGGTTGTAGAGCGTTCCCGACAATCAATAGATTCATATGATATATTCTTTTTCCAGTCGTAAAAACCTCCGCTTGCTATCTTGTTCCTTTCGAATGTTATTCAAAATATTTTGAAATGAACAGTAATTTCAATTTTTGAACGTAAATTATTGTATCTCGAAAATATCATATTCTCAATGAAGTTATATCATAAAATACATATGAATGTCTCTTCATAAGTCATAAACAAGAACATTTCTATGATTGACTAATGATAGAAATCATTTGGAGAGATTTGAAATTATAAATTTATGAATTTTGATAATTCGATGTATTGATGACTATCGAAAAGATCCAGAATTTTAGAAGGGAGGGTGGCGGGTGATTTCGGCTAAAAACTATTTTTTGAGCCCAATCGAAGTAGTGTGAACCTATTTTTGCTGTAAAAAATCAAAAAAGTTTTTTGAAAGGGGGATCGCCTTCATAACCTTCCCCCAAATCTGCCACTGAATTACAAAATTTCAAGATAGAATGACGAATTAAGCTAATATATATAAGTAAATATCAGATTAAAATAAAAATGATTATTATGTATAACATTTATCTAGTATTTGTTGACTAGGTGTCAGTAGTTTCCGATTGAAATCAATTACACAGAGGTTTTAAAGAAAATTTTGTATGGTTAATAAATTGCATCAGCTTCGGTGGAATTTCAGGGAGGAACATCATTATTTTTATTCCACTTAAATACTGACATTGTCCACGTTTGCTAAAATAAAATTTTTTACTTTTCTTTAAGATATGGCAACAAATACTACTACTACGACAACGCCTTCTACTCCAATTGATTTTTCTATAACCGGTGAAACAATTCAATTTGGAAATAATGAAAAAGATATTTTAGCTTATTGGAAACAAATCAATGCATTTGAAACAAGTAATAAATTATCGAAAGATCGACCAAGGTAAAAAAATATAGAAATTGAAAACAATTAAAAGAACAATTAATTATTAAAGATATACATTCTACGATGGACCACCTTTTGCTACTGGTCTTCCACATTATGGACACATCTTAGCTGGTACAATTAAAGATACAGTTACTCGATGGGCTTATCAAACAGGACATTATGTTGAACGTCGATTTGGTTGGGGTAAGATATATCTATTTGAATTTTTATATAAATCTATATTTTATTTTTATTAGATTGTCATGGTTTACCTGTGGTATGAATTATACTTTTTATTTTATTAAAATTATTCTATTGTATGAATTAGGAATATGAAATTGATAAAACACTTGGTATTAAAGGTCCTGAAGATGTAGCTAAAATGGGTATTGCTACTTATAATGATCATTGTCGAAAAATTGTTATGCGATATGCTGGTGAATGGGAAGTATGTTTTCTTCTTTTCATCTTTTATTAATAATATAAATAAAAAAATAGGAAATTGTTGAACGTATGGGTCGATGGATTGATTTTCGTCGAGATTATAAAACAATGTATCCATGGTTTATGGAATCCGTTTGGTTTATTTTTAAACAATTATATGAAAAAGGTTTTGTCTATCGTGGTTTTAAAGTATGAAATTAAATATTTTAGAAAAATAATCTAATAAAAATTGTTTTGTCTAAAAGGTAATGCCATACTCAATGGGTTGTTGTACTCCATTATCAAATTTTGAAGCTGGACAAAATTATAAAGATGTCGATGATCCAGCTGTTTGGGTATCATTTCCACTTACACTTGATCCAACAGTTAAACTTGTTGCATGGACAACAACACCATGGACATTACCATCGAATCTTGCACTTTGTGTTAATCCAAATTCTAATTACGTGAAAATTCTTGGTTAGTTCTATAAAGAATATATATATATATTGATTTATTTGATGTTATATTATTTAGATAAAGCTAAGAATGAAGTTTTTATTTTAATGGAAAAACGTGTAGCTGATCTTTATAAAAAACCTGATGCATATCAAGTATTAGAAACGTAAGTTTTATTTTAAAATTAATCATATTTTTCATTTATTTGTCTTTCTATAGTTTCAAAGGATCTACTTTAAAAGGAATGCATTATACACCATTATTTCCATATTTTGCTAATGTATGTTAATTATTTCAAAAAAAAATTAATTTTTATGTTTATTTGAAATAGATTTCAACAGCTTTTCGTGTGTTATGTGATGATTATGTAACAGAAGAAAGTGGTACTGGTATTGTTCATCAAGCTCCATATTTTGGAGAAGATGATTATCGTGTTTGTTTGGCAAATGGTGTTTTTAATAAAGATAGTGGACCTGTTGTTTGTCCAATTGATGCTCAATGTCGATTTACTGATGAAGTTAAAGATTTTCAAGGATTAAATGTAAAAGAAGCTGATAAAGTAATTATTAAACATTTAAAAGAAGCTAAACGACTTGTTCATCAATCTGTAATGAAACATTCATATCCATTCTGTTGGAGAAGTGATACACCATTAATTTATCGTGCTGTTCCATCTTGGTTTATTCGTGTTGAAGGAATGGTTGATCGATTATTAGCTAATAATAGTAAAGCATATTGGGTACCTGATTTTGTTAAAGAAAAACGTTTTGCTAATTGGCTTCGTGATGCACGTGATTGGGCTATTTCACGTAATCGTTATTGGGGTAATCCAATGCCATTATGGATGAGTGAAGATGGACAAGAAATTGTTTGTGTTGGTTCAATTGAAGAATTAAAAGAACTATCCGGTGTTTCGGTTGATGATATTCATCGAGAATTGTTAGATTTAATAAATTTATCAATTTTTGTTTTTAATAAATATTTAATTTTTATTTAGTGTTGATGATATTACAATTCCATCACGATTAGGTAAAGGTGTATTACGACGTATCCCGGAAGTATTTGATTGTTGGTTTGAATCTGGTTCCATGCCATATGCTCAAGTTCATTTTCCATTTGAAGGACGTAAAACATTTCATGATACATTTCCAGCTGATTTCATTGCTGAAGGTATTGATCAAACACGTGGATGGTTTTACACATTATTAGTTATTTCAACCGCGTTATTTGATCAACCACCATTTAAAAATTTAATTGTTAATGGAATTGTTCTAGCAAGTAATGGAGAAAAAATGTCAAAACGATTGAAAAATTATCCTGATCCAAGGGACATTTTTGAAGCACAAGGAGCTGACGCATTGAGACTCTATTTAATTACATCACCTGTCGTACGTGGTGAATCATTGAAATTCAAAGAAGAAGGTGTTCGTGATGTTGTTAAAGATGTCTTTTTACCATGGTATAATGCATTACGTCTTCTTATTCAATCATGTGATCAATTAGAAATTGATAAAAAAGTTCAATTTACTTATGATGAAAAACGTTTATATTCATCTATGTCATTAAATACAAATGTTATGGATACATGGATTGTATCTTATACTCAAACATTATTGGATTTTGTTAAACAAGAAATGAATGGTAAAACTTTATTTTTTTCTTTGTATATATAAATAAGTTTTTATTTAAATTTTAGCTTATCGTTTATATACGGTTGTACCTCGTCTTGTTAAATACATCGATATGTTGACGAATTGGTATGTCAAATTAAACAAAAGACGTTTTAAGGTAAACATTACTTCTATTGTTTTGTGCCTTTACAGCCATGCAGTTAATTTAAATATATAATTAATTATTGCTTTTCTTGAAGGCGAAATAAATTTTCATCTCGTTTAATTTTGTAACTAAAAAAAGATGAGACAAATTTTTTCTCCATTTAGGGTGAAACATCAATGGAAGATTGTCTTACTTCATTAAATGTCCTTTGTTATATTCTTTTAACAATGGCTAAATTAATGGGACCATTTACACCATTTCTTGCTGAATATATGTATCAAATTTTAAGAAAACTAATGCCACAATCATCAACTACTTCTGAACAAGATCTTAGTGTTCATTTTCAAATGATGCCACAATCACAGTTAGTATTTTTTTCTCTATTGAATTTTTTCTGTAAAATTAAAATGAATGTTTTATTTTAGAGAAACATTAGTGAATAAAACTATTGAACGTTCTGTTGCTGCTGTTCAAACAGTTATTGGTTTGGGTAGAACTGTACGAGAACGAAAAGTTGTTCCAATGAAAGTATGTTGAGATGATTTGATAGTTTTATTTATAAAGAATTTTATTTTTCTAGTATCCATTACCTGAATTTGTCATTATTCATAAAGATGCATCTGTATTAAAAGATCTTGAATCATTAGAAGATTTTGTTCGAGAAGTATGTTATTATTTATGAAGAATATATATCTACTATTATTATATTTTAGGGTTTGAATGTACGAAAAGTAACATTATCACACGATCGTGAACTTTATGGTGTTGAAATGCGTACTGAACCGAATTTTCCAACATTAGGAAAGAAATGTGGAGGTAAAATTTTTATTTATTAATTTATATTTATTTAATTATAATTACAAAAACTATTTAGCTAAAGTTAAATCTGTAACTGAAAAAATTCGTGCAATGACTGATACAGATATTGAAAAATTATTATCGAAAGGTGAAGGTGTAAGTCCATTAACAGTTATTGATGATGTACCAATTGAATCAGAAGATGTTCATATTGTTTATCGTGTTGCCAAACAAACACAATACGAAGCAACTGCTGAACAAGGAGTAAGACGAATTTTTTTTTGGAGAATTTTTGTAGTTTATGTTTTATATTGATAGTTTGTTGTTTTACTCGATTATACAGCTGATGCATCGTTAAACGATGAAGGTCTCATTCGTGAAATTACAAGTCGAATTCAAAAACTTCGAAAAGAAGTTTGTTTTATATTTGAATTGTCTTTTTGAATTATATTCATTTATTTTTACGTAGGCTAAAGTAAAGCCAACTGATGATATAACTATTTATTATTCAGTAGAACCACAAACAAGTGAAATCGCTCGTGTTGCATCAGCACAACGAGGGGAAATTGAAGTCATCCTTCAAAAACCATTTCGACCATTAGCAGAGAAAGACCAAAGTTCTGTTGTTATTGAAAAGAAACTCCCGGTAAGTTTTTTTGTTTGATTATAAATAAAGAAAAATCAATTTTTCTTTCTTTCTAATTAGGTGAAAGATGGTGAAATCGAATTTGTTATCACTCGAAAGTCATAATCAAAATTACACGAGAACAGAATTTTATCTTTTATCTTTACAAACTATTGACGGATCTATTATTATTTGTTGTTTTGTTTTTGTTTTGTGAACTTTCAACACTAATAAAGATCTTTAACAAAATAAAAGACACAAGAATTATTAGCTTGTAACTTATTATTGAAATGTTTCGTCGAGTGTTTGAATATAGAGAAGGAGAGACAAAAGAGATACGCAAATGAGAAGAAAACGAAACGACAATACATGGCACTATAACACACATCTTTATTTAAACTGTTTTTTCATCGTATACCTTGGCATGAAAATACGAGTGCTATTAAATGTGCAAATTCCAATTCATGTGGATAAAATAGACTCTCGAAAGAACAACGTAGCAGTTCAATATGTTGATTTTATTCTAATAGAATCGTTATTGATGAAAAATATTCTACAAGTAAGATAAATGTTTGAAACATGTAACGTCCAATATACTACTAACGTTATTTTTCGATCCAATATCCAGTCGATATGAAAAACTTTGTGATGTACTTCGAAGTTCAGTGAAACTCAAGTACTATTTAGTTGCTTTTAATTATATCATACATCTAATATTTTATCATGATTTGTAACATACGGGTCAATAAGTAGTAAAGGAATTAATTTATTTGAAACATGCTGATTTAGTCTATAACGGAAATATTATACATTCGCGAAATGTTCTTTTCCGCTGACAGTTTCATTAATTTTCATTTGTATTTTGAGTACTTTCATGTCTCATTCAAATCATTATAAAAATTTTTACTTCGTAACTTCTTTCTCTCGAAAAAGTTGCATCTTTATAGTGGATATCATCGTATCAAATAAGAACGGCACGTGTTTCATCATTGATTAATAACGAAATAAGATCACATGCTGAGATTATCTCTCATTGAGAACATACTGATGGCACTCACATGTTTTGCTTTGAGGCCGAGTCAAATTCCAATGTCTTAGTAATATTTATAAATATAGACATAGAATATGTCATCCATTTAATCAATATATATTTTTATCTACATTTTTATAATTAAATTTTTACTGATGACGTCCATTGTTACTTATTTTCCTACCCAGTTGGTTTTATCCAGGTTCTCTTTTCAAATCTCTTGTCACTCAAAGCATTATTACTTTCCCTATTTAAATATCTTACAGAATGATGATTCAGTTATAGATTCTCTATTACCGGTTGAAGCAACATCACAGTGTATACACTATTATCTCGTTATCAAAGATGAACGACACAAGTATGGAAGCAGTTGAAGTCAAACAAGATATTCTTCATCATGTTAAATTTGGTATATTACTTATATTAGAAATTCCATCAGTTTTACTTACGCTCATGATTCTAATATTTTTTATTGCCCATCGAGCTGTTCTTCGTGTTCGACAAAATCAAGGTTTATTCCTATTAATCATTGTTAACTTTATTCAAGTTACATTCGATTTACCAATGGTTATTGATTTTAATCGTTTTGGTCGTGTCAATCCAGCAACACCAGCATATTGTTCATGGTGGACATTTATAGAATATACACTTAACGGAGCTGGTGAAATGTTAATGGCAACAATATCTATTCAACGACATATCATTGTATTTCAAGCACATGTATTTAATAATCGTTGGTATCGATATTTATTTCATCATATTCCACTTTTACTTTGTATTGTCTATCCAGTAACTCTTTATTTGATCATCATTATATTTGCTCCATGTGATGGTACTCAATGGGATTATACTTCAAATGTATGTGGTCTTAAAAATTGTTATATGGTATATAATCCACCCTTAGCTACATTTGATTGGGGAGTTAATAATGGCTTACCAATTGTTGTTATCACTATAGCCAATGTAGCACTTCTCATTCGAGTTATTAGACAAAAACTTCGTCGACAAGGAACTGTTTCATGGAAAAAGCAAAGACGTATGACAGTACAATTACTTAGTATATCTCTTCTTTATTTTATCGCATGGCTTCCTGGCATTGTTGTTGCAGTTATTCAACAATTATTCATACCAGGATTCTTAGCCGAAATTCAAGTAGAATATATCTTCTATCTGACATATATGATATGTCTTTTTGTACCATGGGTATGTCTTGGTCTATTTCCGGAGTTTATTAAATGGGTCTGGAGCGATGTATTACATCGTACAACACCGAGTAATATCATTAAACCGAAAAAATAACTTATCTTAATAATTGTACAGTACTAATTGTAAAATACACGAATATATCTTGCGTTATACGAGCGTTTTTCCCTTTCTGCTTTTGTGTACTGTTTATAGAGTGATCCCCTTGCATATTCTTTAATGTTTAAACTAGAGTGATGATGTATCCTTTCTTTCTTCAATTGCATTCAATGCTGAAGCTGCTTCTATTGTCACATATTGTAAATAACTGCTTTTTTCGTGTTAATATTGTGAATAAAAAAAGAGATTTGATGTTTTGTTAAACAAGAACATCAATCTATAACAAAGTTTTTCAGTGATGCAATGGTAAAAGTACATAACCTATCGGCATAATATGCCATATCAAAAGAAGGTTATGAAATACAACGAGATCATATGATTCAGAGAGATTAAAGTTTTAAAAATATTAGATTCCATGTGACATAAAGTTAAATATGTCTTTCTAATCAAGATAATAGAATCTTCTCTTTTTTTCTGAAATCCTGGAAAAACTATGATAAATCCATTCAACAACAGCTGATCTCATATGAATCTGCTTGAATAAATTAATCTGAGGAAAATAAGAGCATAAGATTCAATAGTTTTGTTTCAAATTTTTATTACTAGAAAAACAGTGTTATATATTCATTTGTTTGTTCATTGCTTAATTCATATCAAGACAACATGATCTAAAATAAAATAATCTATTAATTGTTGAATAATTATTAATTAAATCAAATGTAATGAAATGCAATGTTTTACAATATTTTTTCATCGAATTTCATAATAATAGATGATCGCATATATTTACAATTGTTAAATAAAGACACAAGATCACATGTTTTTCTTTGGGGCAAGTCAGATTCCAATGCCTTGGCTATATTTATAAATCAAGATAAAGAATACGTCATCCATTCCAAATTAATATATTTATATCTACATTTTCATAATTACATTTTTACAAAGGACATTTACGGATATTTTCTTCCATCGAATAGATTTCATCGAGGTTTTTTTTTCAAACACCTTACGGAATAATGATTCAGTTATAGATTTTCTATTACTAATGGAAACAATATTATAAATCTCCATGAATTTTATAATGATAGAATGGTAAAAGAATATACATATTGTTCTTTAGCATGAAACTAAGAATAAAGTCATGAAGAGCAACGAGATTGTATGATTGAGAAAGTTTTAAACTGCAGAAATATCTCGTAGCATGTGACAACAAAAAAATCTTTTCTTTTTCTTTGTCTGTACTTGTAGTATTATGTGACGATGAATAATACACAGAGATATTTCGAAAATAAAGTTGCTTTCATATGAAAATATCAGTGTTGATTATTGGTAGTAGTGGATCTAGAATTTCTGAAAGGAGGAAGGAAATAGGAACCATTACATTGCTTTTCCCTAAATCCGCCACTAATTATTGAAAAGATAATATTGTACTTTTCACTCCAATCATTTACACAAGCTCTGCTGACATATTCACAAAATGAATATATAAAATTCACTCATGTGAACAGATGATGTGTCATTATTAAAATTACATTTATTCAAGAAACGACTCATTTATTTGATATATTTTCGGAAGACAAAAAGAAAGTTTAGTTGTTTGAATAATGATCTTTCTGAACATAGATAAATATTCTTCAATTCAATGCTTTTTCTCATCTATATCGACTTTTATTTCCATCTATTGAACGTTTTTAATTAGGAGAAGTTGACTTTTAAAATATGTTCTTTTATTATAACTACATTTTTATCTTTAGTCAACGATGTTGAATAAATTCTTTTTCTGAATGATATTGTAGATTTTTAATGAGTGTTAAATGAACAACAATGACCAATAGTTTTTACATTAATGACATTATTTGAAAATCGTTGTAAAATAATAGACTTTAGAAAAACCAAAATGTAATTATTTTATAATTAAAAATAATCGTTTATATTCTTTAGCATTTGAATAATAATAAAATAGAGATGAGCTTCTTTTTTTCAATAATGTACTCACATAAAAGATCATTTTTTTTAGTTGAGTACATTATTTTTATATAAAAGTAAGAAAAACTCAGTTTGCATGAAAAAGCAATTACATTAACAAGTACATGTGATAGTGATATTACTATTTCTGTGCAAGTTATTCAATAAATTCTGTTGATTATCTTGCCTTTTTGCTGAGTTTATCAACAGTAAATGACTATATATTTTATATTTGATTTATAGAGAGATAATATTTAATGCTGAAATAACCTCTTATATCACATGTGAATGACGTACATTTTCATTTAAATCTACTTTACGTTCAATTTATTTTCTATATTTAAATACAGACATGTCTAGAAAGATCATTTGTTAAATATCAGTATTGATCTCCTCAAAAAAACTTTGCTTTCGCACAAATAAGAGAAAAATAAAATACTGAATACAGTTTCTCTAAGCATGTCGTTTTATCAATGACAAAAAAATTAGCTTGTTTGTGTCAGCCCGTAGTGAAGATACTCAATGTTTTTTTTTAACAAAATGACTTTAGCACTACTCTATATCTTTTTTTTCTATCTGTGAAAAAATAAAATTTTTTTCTTAAGGTCACAATGATACTTAACAAACGACTTTTCTAGGTATAAACTTTGAACATGTCTCTATCATTGATTTTTCTTAAAATATAGCTCGTTTGCTCGATCCATGATGCAGATATTCAAATTATTTTTTTGTTAAATGAGTTTTCGAACATCCTGTAGATATATAGAACGTGCCATTTATCAAATAGACATTTCCGTTCACAACATCTTTAATAAACTTTAGATAATGT